TGTGGGCCCTGGCCTGAGGACATGGTCAGACAGAGCACTGGGGCAGGCCCCGCACTGGCCTTTTTGGGAAAGGGCAGCTCCTCTGGCCACAGAGGGAGTACTCGCTGCCCACTGACCTTTCTGTGTGGTGCTATTGCTCTAGACACTTCCTTCCCTCTCCCCAGAGCATCCCTCTGCTCCACATCTTCACAAGGAGACACCTTCCAGGGCAATCCCACCCAGCCCTCAGGGTGCAGTTCTGCCGTGCCTGCCACCTCCTCTAACTCCTCTACTGCACTATGAAACAAGCCAGGGAAGAGAGCAAGTCACACTCATCGTGAGGACCCACTGCCCAGCAGACAATGGATCCCAAAGTCCACCCAGCTGACGAGCCAAAGGGTTGTGGGAGAAACCTCAACTGAAGCCAGAGGCTCCTCGTGGACAACAACAGCCACCACCCAAGACAGGCAGCGCCTGCAGGAGGACTCTGACATGCTCCTGAGCCCAGAAGCAGGTGCACAGGAATCCACTGTCTTTGGAAATCCTTCTCACTGGAATCCAAGGGCTATCTTTGGAAATCTCAACACTGACCATTGAACACAGTCAATCATCTCTAATTTAAGAGGCTAGCAAAGGACAAAAGGGACTTTTGATGATCACTGAACTGTGAATTAATGGTGCCAGCACTAGGAATGAGACGGCCTTGCCTGGTGAGAATCCCAGGAAGCTCTGGAAGGCGTCCACCCTTCCGCACCTTGTGTTCCCTTGGACAGAATTTAGAGAAAGGCTATTGAGGCTCTCAAAGCTCAGCTCCAAGGTTATGGGATGTCTGATATCAGTGGGTGGCAGCCAGGTCCCCTGGAAAGACTGCACCTTATTTAGCAGCAAGGTTCCTCCTCCTGGACAGTGAGCCAAACTAGCATGGACTCAGGGATTATTTGTAAAGGCAGACACCAAGGTGGCAAGATCACACCCCAGCTGCTACTAGCGAGTAACAAAAGTTCTTTGTAGGGACAAAAATCATGTGATTACAGCGGGACAGAAAAAGGAGAGAAATCTCACTTACCCTTCTGAGCAGGAAATGTATGTTGTGTTTCCTCTGTTTGAACCCTTGGTAAGGGCCCAAATAACCTGTATGGACAAAGCCTTTAGAAACCAGAGGAATAAGAGAAACATGCCCTCTAGCACACTTGAAGGTTCATGAGAGGTCAGCTTTCAGTGTGTTTGGTAAAACTTCCTGGGTAGCTAGCATGAAAAGTTCTGAAACAAGATGAAGTGTGTTCTCGTCCCGACTCAAAGACTGGGAAGGGCTGAAGCCAGAGTGTGGCTGCTCCTTGCAAAGACAGCCAAGGGCAGACAAGTATGGGAAAGGAAGAAGGGAGGGAAAATCAGGAGAGTACAGCCACCCGAGAGAACCTGTCCAGGGTGACAGGCCAGCCACAACTGGCTGTTAGCATGTGCTAACATTCATGCCACGTACTCATCTCAGGCCCTGGCATGTGAGACAGGAAGCAATTTCATGCTTCTCTAGATGTGGCCGACAGCCAGTGTGATCATTTCTGCACTGTACTCTGAGAACGGCAGTGTCTTGGCTTCACTCTTCCATGATCCTAATTATTCAGGTCACAAGATCGTCCCACTGTATTAACTTACAGGAAAAACTTTTAAATAAAACCAGGCATGCAGAATCCCAGCACCCTTACCATTAAAGAAGTCTGCATGGACTGCTTTCTCATTGGCTGCCAAGTCCATCAGGAGTCCAGTGCTGCCTCCTGCCTGGGGAGTGAAAGGTAAGTTATGTGAGCTCTTTCCCCAAAACAGCTTTGAGTTGTCATAGCATCCCATACCTCCAGGAAACAGGAACAGGGTGAGGGGTGACAGGCAAGTACTCAGGGTGGAGTTAAGAATTTTAGTTGCAAATAAAGAATGTGTGTGAAGGGGGAATTCAAGGAGCAGTTTTTAAAATTCTACATTCCTTAATTTTCCCCTTTCTTTCAAAAAGAGAATTCCCATTGCCCTGAGTGCCACTACTCATCTGTGGACCTCAAGTTCAGCCTCCAGTCCCCTCCTGGACACTGCACAGAGACCACAAGCATGTGCAACCCCAGTCTGGCAACTATTCTGGACCCCTCCCTTTTGAGAATGCAACCATTTCCCTTGGAAGCTGACCTGCCCTGGCCCTTGTGTGCCCTCAGAGCCTCCCACAGCTGAAGCTCCTCCTGGTGGCAAAATCAGGTCACTGCCACCGCTGGGCAATAGAATGCACTCAGGATTCTGCACGTTGCTTAGTCGCCTGGGAAGGATCAGTGCAGTGTCCTCTGATGGTAGCTGTCTGGATGGCTGGCCACAGGAGCCTGTTCCTGCTCTGGTCCCTACACCCTCGAAGGTGTGTGCTCAACTCTCAAGTGCCAAACGCCTCCGTGCTCCGTTTCAGGCTGCTGCCAAGGTTCCAAGACTCCCCCCTTCTCAGCCAGCCTCCCCATCCCAACGCTACAGGAAGCCTCGCAGACACCACCACGTAAATCCTGGGTTGGGGTTCTCCCTGCTCCCACCGGCCTTATTCAGACCTTCTTCAAGTTTCCTTTCTAATTCCATTTTCCTACCCTCCCACTCCAAACCCAACTCCGAACTCTGCTAAGTGACCAGCCGCCTAGCAAATCGGAGCCTGAGGCCTCCCGCAGGGGCCTTAAAACCTGACAGGAGCTGGGTTCGGGGCCCCGGGAGTGGGATGCGCAGGACCCGCCCGCTCCGTGCCGCTCCACCATCTGGCCCTGCGTTCTCTCCTCCCTCCGGTACCCACCCCGCGGGCCCCTGCCAGGCAGGAGCTGCGCACCCCGGCCAGGCTCGTCCCCAAGACGCGCGGGCGTCGCCAGGCGGGGAACCAGCTCCCGCCTTCCGGCAACCGCCCCACGCTAGGCCAGAACGCCGACGCTCCCACCTCACCTCGTCCAGGTCCACGTAGGGACCGGCGCCCTCGGGGAACATCTCGTCCACCGCCGGCTTCATCTCGGGCCGTCGCGCTCTGCCCACTTCCGGCTCGCCGCGCCTACTTCCGGCGCTCCCACCCGGCAGGTCCAGACGCTGGAGGACCGCGACTCGGTGGTGCCCGCCGGGCCCCGGTCAGCCGGGGTTTGCTCCGTGCCGCGCCATCGGGAGCTGGGCTGGTCTCGCCGACCTGCGTGCCCGGGGAGGGCGCCGGGAGCCGGAGGCTGCGTCGCAGCCGACGGGTGGAGGGAGCGGGGAGCTCTTGGACGTCGAAGCCCGAGGTGGAGCGGGCCGTGCACGGCAGCTCTTCCCGGAGAAGGATGCGGACGCCAGGCTCGGGGACGCGCGGCGACGTTCACAGCCGCCGCGCGCCACCCGCGTCCGCGTTCTGGGGCTGCCCGCGGAGGCGGGACCTCGCGGCGACCGGAGGACATCCCCGAGTCCTCGGAATACCGCACAGGGCCGCCCCGAGCCCCCTCCGGAGCGCGTCCCCGGTGGGAAGCGGACTCCTGCGAGCGCCGCGCCGTGGGCGAAGGCACAAACGGAACGGGCCTGTCCCCTGGGCGCAGTGCCACCCAGGAGGCACGTTCCCCCGCGGTCAGCGAGGGCCAGCCTCGAGGACATCGTGTTACTGAAATAAGCCGGTCACCTAAAGACACGGTGTCCCGTTGGAGGCGCCGGGAACGTGCCTGGTGACACTTGAATCTGGTGAAGGTGGAAATTTCATGTTGTATTGTTTTGCCACAATTTGTGACGGAGAAAAGGGGGTAGGGAAGGAAAGGAGGAAGGGGAAAGGAGGGAGAGACCAGAGCCGAGAGGGAGCAGGAGGCGCCTGGCCTCGACTTGGTCCGCTGCCCAGAGTGCAGCCGCCTCCTCGTCTGAGGCCCAGCTCTAGCAAAGAGCCCTGCTAAGCCAGCGCAGCCAGATGTGAGCACCCCGACATCTGATGGGGTTCCTCCGCCCTCACACCCGTGGGTATCTGAGCTCCCTGGCCTCCTTCCCCAAGTCCTGTTTAGCAAGACGCACTGTGCCACCTTCAGTCACTTTCCGCCCATCATCCAGCCTGCTCCTTGCTGTCCACCCCCACTGCTGCTGCCCTTGGAGTTGAACGCAGTCTTTCTCATTGGGAGGCCCCACAGGCCTTTGCCTTTGCCCCTGTCTTGGTAGTCCTGAATGGAGTCTCTTACCCGCCTTTAGTGTCCTTGAATCATCTTTTCCTTAACTTTCAGCAGTAGGTGGACATGGAGGTTGGGAGGGGCTGTGGAGGCCAAGGGACAGAGCAGAGATGTGAGGGTATTGTGGCCTGGACAGGGGCCAGCCTGGCCTGAGTGGACAGGGACTGGATTCAGGGCAGAGGAGCCTCAGATGCCAGGTTAGAGTGTGTCCCCTGAGGCACTGAGGGGCTGCCACTGGCTGGCTTTCTTCCCTGACTGGGTGTGAGCCTCAGGGTCCTCTTGGCTTGCACACCTTGCACAGATGGGTCTCACTGCACTGGGGCTGGACCTGAGGCACTCCTGCGCTGCCTGTCCACCCTCCCACTCCCACAGGACTGCCCAGGGCCACAGACCCCTCCCTCCTCAGCCTCGGAGCCTGAACCTGGGCCCTGACTCCCCTCACAGATGGGCTCACGTGTCCTCATTCCCTGCTGCCCTCAAGAGTGTGCTCTGTGTGAAGTGTGGACACCTGCCCTGGGCTGACTGCTGCCCAACTCCGTGTCCCCTGCTGGGGCTGGAACCAGCTCCTCTGACCAGCTGAATGGCTTTAATGATTCAGGCCGAGCCTCTGTTCCTGCCTCAGTTTCCTCACCGGCAATCTGAGGGTTATGGAGAGAACTGGAGGAGGGGGTGACACAGTGGCGACTCCCGTGGATGAAAGTGTGCAGACATTTATTAAAGCAGAGTCCCCAGGGATCAGAGCCAGCCAGGTTAGCTGGGGAGACAATAGAGCGGAGGCACTGTGGGCAGCTGTGGGGTGGGTCAGAGTGTGTCCCTGGCCTGTGGCACCCCATGGCCTGTGCTGCCTCTTCAGTGGGAGGTTTACTGGTGTGAAGCCACCAGACCCCCACCCCACCATGGCTATGGGTCACCCCCAGGCAAGGGCAGTGCAGTCAGGCAGGCGTCAGTCCTCCTGGTAGGGGACGTGGAAGCCCAGGGTGCTCCCCAGGGGGAAGTGGGCAAAGAAGGTGCGGGCCAGGTCCTCCAGCTGTGGGTAGGCACCCAGGCTCTGCAGGTACTGCACGTAGTTCCAGAAGTCAGAGGTGGAGAAGGGCCAGTAGGGCAGGGCCGGAGGTTCAGCATAGGGGTCTGAGAGACAGGAGGCCACCTCAGGGGCTGCCCACTGCCTGGAGACCCCTCTGGGGCAGGTAGACAGCCCAGCAGCACCTGCAGTGGTGGGGCCTTCTGGCCTGGAGCAGGGCCCAGCCTGCCCCTGATCATCCTAGGAACAGGGGCCAGTGTCCCTGCATCTTAAGGGTGCCAGGTCTAGGGACAGAGGAAGAGTCAGAGAAAGGGGAGGGATGAGGACCTGAGATGGAGGAGGAGGAGGGGGGAGGGGAGGGGAGGCCACCCTCACTCTGGGAGGTGCTGAACTGGGAGGAGCTGGCTGGTAGGATTGTAGGGGCTTGGGCAGTGTCCTGGGAGGGGTTCAGAGGAGAGCAGAGCTTCCTGGTCCTAGAGTTTGGGCAAAGACACCCAGATAATACCTGAGTTTGAACTTGAGGGAGGGCCCGGACCAATCCCAGGCCTGAGGGTGGGAATTTCGGGGCTTCATTGGCCAGGTGTGTTCCCAGGCTGCTGGGCAGGGCCTGCTGGCAGTGACCCACCTCCTCTCAGCTGAGCCAGGCTTCCCATCATGTCTGTCTGGTAAAGAAGCCCTGGCCCCAGCAACCACTGCTTCCACCCCCACCCCCAGTTATTGATGTAAATGAAGAAAGAGCCAGGAAGAGCTTACCTGCCCCCTCCTGCACTGGCTTGGCCCCTGCAAAGGGAAGGGGAGGCCATCAGCCAAGCATCCCAGACCTGACCCACACTGCTGAGTGGACTACAGTATGGAGGGGAGAGCACCGGAGGGCAGAGGTCTGTCCCAGAGTGGCCCCTCACCTGCAAGAGGCCCCAGCAGGAGGCAGAGGGCCAGCCCCAGCATCCAGCAGGCCTCCATCATCCCCAGTTGCAGCCAGTCGACTCCTTAGGTCCACCTGCAGGAGTCCAGAGGGCGAGAGCGCTGTGCGCCAGAGCCAGCCTTTCTGCCACCCCTGGGAAGCTAGAGTCTGCCCAGTGACTCCGACTTCAGTGGTTTCGAGCCATCATTCTCCCATGAAGCCCCCACCTGGTTGGCTTCATTGATTCTGATTACCTAAGAGTCTACCTTCCTTGCCCTCGGATACAGTCCCAGGTCCCCAGAGGCTTTACCTTTCCTCCGTCTGCTCAGCCCAGCTGTGCAGCCTGGATGTGTCGCTGCCAGCTCAAAACCTCCTCTTTATACAGGGGCTGGGGACCAGGAAGGAAACGTCACCTGCCTGAACTGTCAAACTGAATATCTCATTCCCAGCCAGAGGACTGTGGGCTTTTGTAGCCCTGCGGGCAGCAGAGTCACGGGATCAACTGGTGAGACTTGGATCCAAGATCAAATTGAGAGAAAAGCATCCTTGTGCAGTCTGTTTCTACAGCATTCAGGACTGAGAATCAACCTTGGCACTTGGAACAAACCCACAAGAGAGCGGGCGTCTGCCACTGGACCCATGGAAGCTTCCTGTCCCGGGGTAATGTGGGTGAGCCCAGAGCTGCCCCAGCAGTCCAGCTGGCAGGAGTCACAGAATGACTGTTGAGCAAAGTCACAGGCAGAAAGTGTGGGGCTGAGCTGGACCTGTCTCCATCCAAACCAGAGCTTTGGGGCTTATGCAGAGCCTGTCTCTAGTCTGGAAGGAGAGTGTCCCAGCCCAAGGGATGCCATCTAAAATGCCAAGGGGTCCTGAGCCATGAGAATGCACCTCTCTGCACAGACCCCCACAGTGCCCGAGACCACCCTGCCTCTCCGAGTCAGCGCAGATTCCTGGCCCGGCCCGTGAGGTCTGCCATCCCATGGGACACTACCTGTCCAGGGGGTCGGTTCCTTTGTTTTTCCTCTCCACCTCAGGGTGCTTCAGGGGTGCTGGGAAACTTGCTCACCCACATGTTTGGGGATTCTGCACCTAAAGATCCCCAGCTCCACCCCAGTTTGCCCACAGATCCCCATCCTAATGGCTGAGGCCCATTCTTTCTCTAACAATCCCCTAAATTTACCCAGAGACCCACAGAGGCAGCAAATTCAACTTGCATGATAATGCAGACACCCACCAGATTAGACTTTGGGTTTCATTTTCAGAAACCTGGTCCCTGTGGCTACAGGAGGTAACAGGTTCTCTTGGGGGCAGCTGCTTTGGGGTCTCCAAAACCACAATTCACTAAGAGAACACACAGGACTCGTCACGGGGATGCGCTCATGGTTGGTTTTATTACAACAGTCAGACACAGAGGGAAATCTGCAGGGGAGCAGGCCCGGGCCTCCCGTGTCAGAGGAGGAGAGAGCTGCCCGGGGCCATGGCTCCTGCCCTGCTGAGATGGCATCCCAGGATGATGTTAGGAAAAGCACACCCGACAGCAGTCGCTGTATCTTCACGACTCCGTTCCTGATAGAGGACTGTGTCAAACATCTAAGAAGACGGACAGGGATGGTGTTTGGCGGTGGGGGACTAGAGGTGCACATAGGTTTTGTCTTCTCTTTCTGTACCTATTGTAGATAATTTATCTCATGTCAGGAAGTCTAAACAGCAGCAGCAGCAGCTCCCTGTGACTGGCCTCCACGTGGAGGCCCCACCCTCTACACCCCTTGCCCATCCACTGGTCCTCCCCCACCCCTGCTCTCCTGCAGTGGGCCAAGAAAGTCCTGGAGGGGGTTTGCCCCCCACCCCGTGTGTTCTGGTTTGGGCGGGAGAGAGATGTCCTCATCTTTAGGCATCTCCAGGGATTCTGTGGAAACTCAGGTTCTGACTGGGTGGTGGAGCAGGGGGTGCTCGGCTTCACTACCAAGCTGCAGGGCCCCGGAGCACACCTGGGGTGGTGAGGCTCAGCAGGGTCCAGGCTGAAGGCCCTGGAGGACCTGACAAAGTGCAGTTGCCACCGGCTCCTCCCCCTCGGAGCTCTGAGTGAGCCCAGAGTGGGCTGCGTTTCCAACTTGTTCCCTGTCAATCCTCAGCAGGGTGGTCAGCATCTGTGCCTCTGGCTCACATGGGAACGAGCAAGACAGCTTAAAATACCTGAGTGTCCACCTCCCGGCGTGAATTCTAACTCAGCGGTGGACCCTGGTACTATTGGGTTTGGAATTTGTCCAGCAACTGCTCTGAAGCCTGGTTGACCACTACTCCCTGGATTGGGGTCTTCCCTGTCCCAACTCCTGTCCCTGCAGGGCATAGGGCCCTCCCTATGGAGGCATCAGAGGCCTCACGAGGTCCACTGTCTGGAGTAAGAAAATGCTTGGGCTGCATAAGGCCATTCTGGGTGGACAAAGGCTGCCCTGTACCCTCTAGTGATAATGAGAAGGCGCCGGCTGGCGGCAACATCAGCGTGGCAAAGATAAGGTCTCTGGCGCCCCCTCCCGCCCACCCCGGAAACAGCAGGTGTGGCCTGGGTCTTGCAGCCCCCAGATGCCCAGGCCAGTGCCCCACAGGGCCACCTGCTCTCTTAGGAGACTCAGCTCTCACTGCAACTCTTCCCCAGGCCCTCCTCCCTTCCTGCCCTGTGGAGTGTGTCCAGTGTCGGTGCTGGGGCCTGCTCATTGCTCGGACCCCTGCCCTCTCCAGCCAAGAGCTGCACGTCCCCCCTCTGCAGGCCTTGCTGCCCCATGTATCCCCTAGCCTGTCACTCTGTCCTGTGTCCTCTGTCCTGGCAGGTGGCCCTCTTGCCCAACTGTGTCCCTGGGCTCCTGAGAGAGCCTGGTGTCCAGGGCCTGAGCAGTTGCTGGCTCAGTGGGCAGTGCTTGGAGCAGTTGCTGGTGGAGAGTGGCTCTCTGCCTTGGTCCAGCTAGCAAGGGTTCCAGCCCAGAGGCCCCTCAGCCGTCCCCTGCTGCCCCTCCTGCATCACAGGACATGCCATTCCAGTGGCTTTGGCCCACAGACCTCAGTACTGTGCCATATTGCCCCCAAACCTGCTGAGACCCCGGGCCTGGGTCCTCGGGAAGCAGCCCCTGCTCCAGGAGTGGGAGGGACGTCTCCTAATGTCACCTACACTCGTTCCCAAACCCACAGGTTCTGCTCATGTTGTTAGCTCAATAAAGGAACTTAAATATCATGAAATTAATGAACATGAATAGGCAGACTTTGGAATGAAAGCCACGGTGACTTAGAAAGACACCTGATGGAGCAGGGTCCCAGACCCTCCCTGCGGCCTTCAGGGGAGGAGGGCCAGGGCGGACCCCACAAGGTCTCTCCAGGTCTGAGCCGCTGGGGTTCTGGGAACCAGCATGTCTGGAACGGGGCCCAAAGTGCCTTGGAACAGCAGAACCAGGAGAGGGCACTGCCGCAGGCTGCACAGGGCTGGGCCCTTGGGAGTCCCTCCTGGACATGGTCCCGATGACTGCGGGGTGGGCTGGCCTCAGCAGGAGTGGGAGGGCTGGACAGAGGGGCCGCAGTGTTGTTGGGGTAGTGGAGGGAGGAGTCGTGGGGCAGGGACATGACCCAAGGCTGAGACGGCCCACAAGATGGAGCAATGGTCCAGGGACCACCCTGAGACCCATGGGCAGCTGGGGATGCCAACAGACGTCCTCCTGCGGTTGGGGATGGGCCTAGCCAGCAATGGACTGCTGGGGATGGTGGACACTCCTCCCCGACTCTGACAGGCATCAGTTTCTGCTGCTCCCAGACAGGGCCAGGGCTCCAGTCGAGGCCCCTGACTGCAAGGGACCCTTCAGCCAGTCTCTGCGGCCGGTGACCTCTTCACTGCCACAGAGAAGCTGACCCTAGGGAACTGTGCGTTTCTCAGCTGCCGGAGGTGCCCAGGCCACAGCGTCCCGCCACCCCCCAGGGTGCCCGGCCTCTCAGCCTCTGAGGGTCTCTGCTGGAGAGTCCAGCCTTCATAGCTTCCCCGCAAATGGCCCGCTGCCCTCCTCCCTCGGAGCCTCCAGCTCTCTCTCCACAATGCTGAAGGACAGGAGAGGTCTCCACCCCGGCTGCTGTCCCAGATTCCAGACCTGTTGATTCACACGAGAAGGTGTTGTGAGCCCAGAGGGCGGGGAGTGAGGTGGCCGTTGCTGGGCAGGGTCCAGCTGAGCCAGGAGCGCGTCCTGAATTAAAGGGCTGGTCGTGCCTTTGGAAGCCCTGGTGAATCTGTCTCCTGGCCCGGCTGGGAGGTGGCTGTCCGGCCCAGAGCCTGGACAGCAGAGCCCATCCCCCATCTGGCTCCCAGGAGATGTCAGCCTGGCCCCAGGAGCAGCCAGTGGGGGAGGACAGAGAGGCCCTTCCAGAGTGAAAGAGGAATGAAGACCACCGTCCCTCCAGCCCTAGGCCTCCCTGTCCCAGTGAGGCCATGGTGGCCATGACAGGCCTCGATCACACACGTGAATCATAAGCCCATTTTCTCACTGAGTGACATATTTTGGAGGTCTGCCAGGTCAATATGTATGAGGCCCACTCGTCCTTCCTAACAGCAACAGCACTTTGATTCCAGTTCCCAACTTCAGCACGATGGACCTCGGGTAGAACGCTAGATGTCCAGCAGCACCCCAGCCTCCACCCACCTCAGCCTCCACCACCTCAGGCCTCTACCCACC